AAAATACCGCAACGCCGGACCACTTTTGGAAGTTGCGATGTCGAAAAAGTGCACGCCGTTGTGGCGCGAAGCACATTTTGAAGTCAAAATGTACAAAACACCGCAACCTCGGACCACTTTTGGAAGTTGCGATGTTGAAAAAGTGCACGCCGTTGTGGCGCGAAGCACATTTTGAAGTCAAAATGTACAAAACACACCATGTTCGGACCACTTTTGGAGGTTCAGATGTCGAAAAAGTGTCGAAAAAGTGCACGCTGTTGTGGCGCGAAGCACATTTCGATGTCAAAAGTGTAAAAAACTGAGGGTTTTGAGCCTTTTTTGACGTGAAGATGTCGAAAAAGTAGACACTGATTAACTTGACTAACTAACTTAACTAACTTCACTAACTTAACTACCCTAACTTCGACGACAACAGCAACAGCAGCAGCAGCAGCAACAACAACAACAACAACCACAACAACAACAACTACAACTACAACTACAACAACTACACAACAACTACAACTAGAACTAGAACTACAACTACAACAGCTACAACAACAACAACAGCAACAACAACAACAGCAGCAACAGCAACAGCAACAACTACAACTACAACTACACAACAACTACAACTAGAACTACAACAACTACAGCTACAACAACAACAACAATAACAACAACAACAACAACAACAACAACAACAACAACAACAACTACAACTACTACTAAAACAACAGCAACAACAACAACAACAACTACAACAACTACAACAACAACAACAACAACTACTACTACTCCTACTACTACTATTACTACTACTACTACTACTACTACTACTACTACTACTACTACTACTACTACTACTACAACTACAACTACAACTACAACACACAACAACTACAACCACACAACAACTACAACTACAACAACTACAACTACAAAACAACTACAGCTACAACCATATGACTGCAACTACACTACACTAATTACATTACACCACAACTACAACTACAACTACAGTTGCAGTACATCACACTACATCCAGCAGTTGTGGGTGAGGTGACCACTGCAACCATTGCAACCATTCCAGCAAACACAACTCCAACCACCTTTCGGTCAATCAGTGGCTTCGCTCTGCCATCCCTGATTCACAACAACCAAATTCTCCTATAGGTTTCCTATGTTTGAAACTTCCGCCACCGCCTTGTGCGGTACTACTGGTATAGACAGGAAGCAAAGAAGCAAAGGAGCAGGAAGTAGAGCAGCAAAAGCACATGACTGAAGAAAGGAAACAGTAGAATAGTAGAGGTAGAAAGGCACAGAAGTACAAAAGCAGAGCAGCAGGGAAAACAGAGAAGCAGAAAAGCAAAGAAGCAGGGAAAACAAAAAGCAGAAAAATCAGACAAGCAGAGAAGCAGGAAAAGCAGAGAAGCAGGGAACCCAATGTGCAGAGAGTCGCCAAGTGCCGCGCCTGCCAGGCGACATCAACGGCGTCAACGGCATCAACAGCGTCAACGGCGCTCAATGCCGTCCAGCAGCCCTGCAGAGGGCGCCGCGCCTGCCACGCAAGACAGCCACGGCGTCAACGGCATCAACGGCGTCAACGGCGTCAAGCAGCCCTCCAGAGAGTCACCAAATGCTGCCCCTGCCGCGCGGGACAGCCGCGGCGTCAACGGCATCAACGGCGTCAAGCAGCCCTCCGAGAGTCACCAAGTGCCGCCCCTGCCACGCAACGGCATCAACGGCGTCAAACAGCTGCGGCGTCAATGGCGACAACGGCGTCAAGGGCGCCACACAGCCCTACAGAGAGTCACTATCAAATGGTCTCGTCTTTGAGTGTTCTTGCATCGAGTATGATACTTCTAGCCTGGAATCTGTACTGGAGATGGTTTCTGCTTGAAGCAGCGGACTACAGCCCCTTGTAAAAAGTTGCGGCCTTCGGATTCCTGGGGCCTGATGGAGGAGAAATCCGGCACTGGGACCAGCATGTACAAAATCAACCATAAGATAGTATTAGCACGGAAACACAGTAGCATGTTCCCGAGACTCAGCTGCAAAGCAGCGGATACGTCAGAAAGATCAGAAAGAACCCTGATAAGTTTAAACCTGCCAGTCTCTGTGCACCTCTGAAAAGGAATCACATTGAAGGACGTTACGCACGGTGCGGCCATGCGCAATGGGCAATATTCACCAGGCCTCAGTCCTCTGCCTGAAGTCCTTCTAGGACTGGTTCTACATGTCTAATTTTGCCCGATCTAGTTTAGCTCATTGTCGTCACAAAAAGTGGTGGAGCCCAAGACCCCGTGCCATATGCCAATGCCTGCTCCACATCAGAGGCAATCATGCCAGCAAGCAAAATGAGCCTGAAAATTTGACAGGGCCAGAATTTCAAGCAACTTGCATCTGCGCGCGTTCTGTAAACCCCAAGGGCATGCAATGAAGTGGCCATGCCCACGCCTTTCAAGTCATGTGTCAAGTCATAACCCAAAGATCTTCAGAAGGCCAGAGAAAACATGATAGCTTTGGGGCATCTTTTTGGGAGAATGCAGCTTTTGATCGAGCCCAACAAACCTTCAGAAAAACTTTGGCACCGGTACTTTTAGTGACGCCTTGCCAGCCTTACAGATGACGCCTTGCCAGCCTTACAGATGACGCTTTGCCAGCCTTACAGATCCCGTGAAATAATGTGGTCTATATGTAACTTCTTGTCAACCAATATTCTGACATATTTCCTGTCATAGAGGCCTTTGCCAACTAACTATGTTTTCCATGATGGAAGAATGATTATGAAGATTGACCTGCGTGGTTATTCTTCTTTGCTGAGTGATTTGTTGGAAGTTACTAGAGAAAGTTGAGAGCTTGGCTGTGTTGGTAGGTACTTGAGAGAGAAAAGATCCTAGCATCAAGAACGTGTTGGAAGAATTCGATGCAACAGAACATTATCACCCCCCGCCCCACCCCACCCCCCGACCCCGCCCACAATCGTTAACGTAGCATCAAAGTCGTGTGCTATCCATCATGAAGTGTTTTGTGAACAATGCCTAGCGCGGTTTTCACCTTGCCGGCGTTTATAGCGTATCTATATCTTAAGTCATCTTAAGTCAACTTCAACAATTCATGACGACCAAGGAGTCAGTACATCGTCAGCGTGACATGGAACTCATTGAAAACACAGAACTCATTGCGGGTTTCTACCAGCCCGGCACCTTTTAGTAGATGTAGTTGTGCTATGTTGTGCTGAGATATATTGTAACACGTCGACTAATGTATATTATTGCCCGATGAATCAAATTTGATTCATATATGTACAATCTGGTTAGGTATTGATAAGCGCCTGAAGTGACAAAAACCTTCACATATCGCCTGCACTTTGCAAGTATGTGCAAACTAGACTTATTGTGAAAGTTTGTCTGCGCGTGCGTCGTGTATCTGCAAAGGTGTGTAATCTGAAAAAAGTATATATATATATATAAATGTGTGTACTTACCTTTGGCTGCAAATTTACTGCCTGTTTTACTGCTTTGTCGCAGATGTTGACGAGCGTCTACGCATACACACGATTACCTCTGTACTCCATATCTTACCTGCAAATTACAACCCTGCCGCAGGGTTGGCGGGGCTAGTGGGGACACAATTGCTAATTGCTATCAATGACCCATGCCGCAATCATTACATATATCAACAGCTGAAGCCGATCGATACAAACGAAACCAACGCATGCGGTGGCTGGGCCCAAGAGTTGCACATTTCTTTGGCGAACATGTGGCTTGTATTCCTGTCGGCTATCTACGCCGAGGCCGCGGCCCAACATCCCATAGCAATCCTTTGGAAGCAGCACTGACAGCAAACTTGTGCGTCATGTCACCTTGGCATCGCCCGCCAGAGCAATGTGATATGACCGCCGCTACATGACACCATCGGGGGCAAGTGCTGAAACGAGAAGATTCATAGGAAGCTCTTTGAATCTTTAGCCTTTCGCCTTCTTCAATGTGGATCTCGGAAAATCATAGCCCCCAGACCCCGAAAGGTTTCAAAGGATTCCTCAAGAGATCTGGTGAGTCTAGTACTGGTTCGGCGCCTATGCTGCTGTTGGCAGATCATGTGCCTTTGAGTGACTTGCATGACCTTTTGCTGTCATTTTCCTGTGGCAAAGCGATAGTTGCAGCTTCAAGTTTCGCAAGCCTTAGGACAATGGTTTGCCACTATCAAGGTTGGTAGGCTGATCATAAGAAACGGTGTCATTGTCAGCACGCCGGTGGGGGAAGATGGGAAACCCATCGGGACGCTGGTCCGACATATACAAGTTGGCGAGGGGTTTGCCCGCAAACAGATCCGGCAAGCAGGGTGCATTGCCTAGTTCCCACCAGCCAGGTGAGGGTCTCTAGATTTTAACAAAGGTGCCGCCGCAACTCCTCCTCATCCTCTTCTTCCTCCTCTTTGATGCTGTGCCTGAACCGGAATCACATCGCGAGCGCCGGACGTGGCCGTGGGCCCACTACCACATCGCGAGCTCAGGAGGCTGTGGCATGGCCCGGGAGGCTGTGATGTGGCTCTGGACCCGCTCCTGCATCGCGAGCTCAGGAGGCTGTGGAGTGCCTTGGGCCCGAACACATGCCAAAGAGGTGGCCAGAGAGAATGCCAGGCAGAATGTCAGAATAGATGCCGGAAAGAATCCTCGGCTGAATGCTCGAAAAGATGCCAGATATAAGACCGCCAGCAAGAATGTCGGAAGATATGTCAGATAGAATGCCAGAAGATATGCCAGATAGATGGACAGAAAGAATGGTTGAAAAGATGCCAAATACAATGCCAGAAAGAATGTCAGAAGATATGCCAGATAGACTGCCAGAAGATATGCCAGAAGATATGACAGATAGATTGACAGAAAGACTGTCAGAAGATATGCCAGAGAGATTGACAGAAAGAATGTCAGAAGATATGCCAGATAGAATGCCAGAAAGAATGTCAGAAGATATGCCAGATAGAACTGCGAGCTCCAGATCTCAGTGGGCACTGCCGGACCTCAACCAGGAGGAGGGAAGAGGAGGAGAGCAACTCTGATGAAATCTAAAGACCGAACCTAGATTTCATCAGAGTTGTCCTCTCCTCCCCTTCCCTGCCAGAAAGATCTAAGATATGCCAGAAAGAATGTCAGAATAATAAATGTCAGAAAAATGGCAGACAGGTATGACAGTATTTTTGTCACGGCGGGGATCAATCGAAGCAAAGTAATTAAAATAGAATAAAATAGGTTTTGCCTTTTTCGCATGCCATGCAGTGTCTTCCTGAATCTACCGAGCGGGCTAAAACAGTCTTGCTATGCAAAATTGACAAGCTGATTCCCTGGATCGACCCGAATCTGGCACAGTTGGTCCCATCGCTACCTCCATTGGCAATGGCTGGTTTCCGTCATGGCTTTGTACCGTGCAAAAGCTGAGAGCATGGCCTATGTAGCATTTGCAAGACATGCAACGCAAGACATATAACAAGTTCTGGCGCCCAGCTCAGCTGCCTACTTTTTTCGAGCTCTCGGCGGGCGAGGTCCTGCTGAATGCCGAACAGTGAAACAGGCAATATGTCATCTGAACCCAAGACAGAAAACAACTTACAGCAACAAGAAAAAACATATGGAGATGCCTACCAAGCCTAGGGATATCCGACGCGGCATGAATGATATTCAGTCATGACCTTCAAAAATCAAATGCACACCCACGCACACCTATCTATCTATCTGTCTGTCTCCCTGTCTGTCTGTCTGTCTGTCCGTCCGTCCGTCCGTCTGTCTGTCTGTCTGTCTGCCCGAATATCTGTCTATCCATCTGTCCGTCTATCGGTCTATCTGTCTACCTGTCTATCTATCTATCGATCTACCTATCGATCTATCTGTCGATCTATCGATCTACCTACTTTTCTAACTATCTAGCCGATCCAATCTACCTGACCGATCTAATCTATCTAATCTACTTAATCTAACCTATTCTATTCTATCCTATTCTATTCTAATCTGACTACCACCTGCCTACATACCTATCTCTCTCTCTCTCTGTCTGCCTGTCTGCCTAACTATCTATCCATCGATCGATCTATGTATTTCTATCTATCTATGTATTTCTATCTATCTATGTATTTCTATCTATCTATCTATCTATCTATCTATCTATCTATGTATTTCTATCTATCTATGTATTTCTATCTATCTATGTATTTCTATCTATCTATGTATTTCTATCTATCTATGTATTTCTATCTATCTATGTATTTCTATCTATCTATGTATATCTATCTATCTACCTATTTCTATCTATCTATGTATTTCTATCTATCTATGTATTTCTATCGATCGATGTATTTCTATCGATCTATGTAAGTATGTCTATCTATCTACGTATTACTATCTATCTATGTATTTCTATCTATCTACCTATCTATCTATCTATCTAATCTAATCTAATCTAATCTAATCTATCCATCTATCTAGCTATCTGTCTGTCTATCTATCGATCTATCTAATCTAATCTATCTATCTATCTATCTAGCTATCTGTCTATCTATCTATCTATCTATCCATCCATCTATCTGTCTATCTACCTACCTACCTATCTATCTATCTATCTATCTATCTATGTATTTCTATCTATCTATGTATTTCTATCTATCTATGTATTTCTATCTATCTGTCTATCTATCTATCAGTCAATCAATCAATGAATCTATCCATCTATCAATCAATCAATCAACCTATCTATCTATCCATCTATCTATCTGTCTATGTCTACCTATCTATCTAGCTATCTATCTATCTATCTATCTATCTATGTATTTCTATCTACCTATGTATTTCTATCTGCCTATGAATTTCTATCTATCTGTGTATCTATCTATCTATGTGTTTCTATCTACCTATGTGTTTCTATCTATCTATCTATGTCTACCTATCTATCTATCTATCTAACTATCTAAATGTCTATATATCTAGCTATCTGTCTGTCTAAATATCTATCGATCTATGTATATCTATCTATCTATCAATTGTCTATCTATCTATCTATCTATGTACCTGTCTATCTATCTGCCTGTAGATCTATCTATCAATTTATCAATCTATCTGTCTGTCTGTCTGTCTATCTATCTCTCGATCTATCTATCTGTCTGTCTGTCTGTCTATCTATCTATCTGTCTGTCTGCTGTCTGTCTGTCTATCTATCTATCTACCCATCTATGCACCTATCTATTTATTAATGCATCTATCTATCTATCTATCTCTCTATCTATCTATCTATGTATCTATCTATCTATCTGTCTATCTAGCTATCTGTCTGTCTATCTATCTATCTATCTATCCTATCTATCCTATCTATCCTATCTCTCCTATCTATCCTATCCATCTATCTGCCTATCTATCTATCTGCCTGTCTATCTATCTGCCTATCGATCTATCTTTCTATCTACGTACCTATCTATCTATCTACCTATCTATCTGTCTATCTATCTATCTATCTATCTATGTATTTCTATCTATCTATGTATTTCTATCTATCTATGTATTTCTATCTATCTATGTATTTCTATCTATCTATGTATTTCTATCTATCTATGTATTTCTATCTATCTATGTATTTCTATCTACCTATGTATTTCTATCTATCCATGTATTACTATCTATCGATGTAATTCTATCTGTCTATGTATGTCTATCTATCTATGTATTTCTATTCATCTATGTATTTCTATCTATCGATGTATTTCTATCTGTCTATCTATCTATCTATCTATCTATCCTATCTATCCTACCTATCCTATCTATCCTATCTAATCTATCTATCTATGTATTTCTATCTATCTATGTCTTGCTACCTATCTATGTATTTCTATCTATCTATGTATTTCTATCTATGTATTTCTATCAATCTATCTTTCTATCTAACTATGTATTTCTATCTATCTATCTATCTACCTATCTATCTATCTATCTATCTATCTATCTATCTAATCTATCTATGTATTTCTATCTATCTATGTATTTCTATCTATCTATCTATCTATCTATCTATCTACCTGTCTATCTATCTATGTATTTCTATCTATCTATCTATCTATCTATGTCTACCTATCTATCTATCTATCTACCTATCTATCTAGCTATCTGTCTATCTATCTATCCATCCATCTATCTGTCTATCTACCTACCTACCTATCTATCTATCTATCTATCTATCTATGTATTACTATCTATCGATGTATTTCTATCTGTCTATGTATTTCTATCTATCTATGTATTTCTATCTATCTATGTATTTCTATCTATCTATGTCTTTCTATCTACCTATGTATTTCTATCTATCTATGTATCTATCTATCTACCTATCTGTCTATCTATCTATCTTTCCATCTATCTATCTATGTCTACCTATCTATCTATCTATCTATCTATCTATGTATTTCTATCTATCTATGTATTTCTATCTACCTATGTATTTCTATCTACCTCTGTATTTCTATCTATCTATGTATCTATCTATCTATGTGTTTCTATCTACCTATGTGTTTCTATCTATCTATGTATTTCTATCCATCTATGTATTTAATATTAAACGATGGTGCTCCATATCATCAGTGTGATTTCTACTCTACTCTATCGACATACCGATCCTATCTATCTATCTACCGATTTTTATCTTTCTAGCTATCTTTCTATCTATCTAGCTAGCTAGCTATCTATCTACCTCTCTCTCTCTCTCTGTCTACCTATCTATCTATCTATCCTATCTATCCTATCTATCCTATCTATCCTATCTATCCTATCTATCCTATCTATCCTATCTATCCTATCCTACCTATCCTATCCTATCTATCCTATCTATCCTATCTATCCTATCTATCCTATCTATCCTATCTATCCTATCTATCCATCCATCTATCTGTCTATCTATCTAACTACCTATCTATTATTATCATATCTATCTATCTATGTATTTCTATCTATCTATGTATTTCTATCTATCTATGTATTTCTATCTATCTATGTATTTCTATCTACCTATGTATTTCTATCTATCCATGTATTACTATCTATCGATGTAATTCTATCTGTCTATGTCATTATATATATCGTGTAATTCATCTGTCTATGGATGTAAGGCATCTATGTATGTCTATCTATCTATGTATTTCTATTCATCTATGTATTTCTATCTATCTATGTATTGCTATCTATCTATGTATTTCTATCTATCTATCTACCTACCTATCTATCTATCTATCTATCTATCGATTTTTATCTTTCTTTCTATCTATCTGTCTACCTACCTACCTATCTATCTATCTTCCTATCCTATCCTATCCTATCTATCCTATCTATCCTATCTATCCTACCTATCTAATCTATCTAATCTATCTAATCTATCTAATCTATCTAATCTATCTAATCTATCTAATCTATCTACTCTATCTAATCTATCTATCCATCTATCCATCTACCTAATCTATCTATCTATATATCTTAAAATTTTGTTTTTACAAACTGATATCAATTCCTGCATCCTGGAAAAGATGGAGCACGAGGTGCCACTGCACTTCACAGGCGTCCATTGCAGCTCCGATTGTGATAATGGTAGGTACCTCAGGCAGAGCTACATTTGGAACACTTCCGAAGAATCTTCATGAAGGATCCATCTGGAAGGCAACAGGGGATAACCGCAAAACGCTAAGTGTGGAAGTTGCCAACGCTGCTGACGCGACATGATTTTTATACGGGAGCTCACCGGCAAAAGGTCAATATATAATGGCAAAGTTGGCCATCGTGTCTGATAGAAAGGCTTAGGCATGCTTGGTTGCGGAGAATACTTCCCTTTGCATTCCCTTTTCTTCTTCAATCCAGGCAGCCCCCCATTTAGCACCCAGCTGCTTCCACACTGAACAATTTCTTACGCGAAGCCCCAAGCAACTTTTACACCCAGAAGCTTTTCGGAGACGACATTACAACAAGCAGCTCTTATAGCGGCAAAGCAGCTTTCACAGCAAGCATCACCAAGCAATGGTCAAGGCCAAGAAGCTTTCCCGCCAAAATGCTTGTGCAACATCTGGTGCCCACATGTATCTACAAGTGTTTACCCAAGGTGTTTGCGCTTTCATGTTGAAACGAAGGGGTGGAATTCGACCAAGGCTCTTGGATCCTGCAACAAAATCTTTTTCAATGGGAATTTCAGGATCCTAAAATGGAGGTACTGTACCATATAAGGCCATATTTTGTGGGGATATCCCCTTACACAGGCCTTACATAGGCCTTATATATGGTAGGTACCTCCAATTTAGGTTCCTGAAATGGCCATTGATCTTTTGCAGGTTCTCCCAGCCTGTTAAGGAAAGTTGCTACGGAACAATGATGTACTTCTACAAGCTACAAAACCAATCAAACCATGGGCAATTCAAAATGGTTCGAAGGAATGTCAACCAAACCGGGGAGACTACTCGCTGCAACGTTTGCAAGCCAAGCGCCACAGCACAAATCTCCATATGCGAAAGGCAGCCTGCCATCAGATCGTTGTTGCCATCAATGATTTTTTTGGATGCGCTATGACATACTATGACAAAGCATGACCCGTCAGAACCTCACCGGCTGATAAGGAGGTATCTCAGTGCCCTGAAGACTAGTTCTGCCAAAAAACCGTCCAAGGAAGTCTTTTTTTTGGTATTCGGTTTCTTTTTCCAAAAGACGAATTCGAAACAAGGCGATAGCAGTTAACAAAGATATTTAGGCCTTCGGCTTGCTCCCAATGGTTATCCTCCATTCCAGAGCCGCCAGAGACCAAGGAGTTGAATATTATGGCATTGTGACGCACCATGCGAGATCTGCCGTCTCCCCTTGGCCGACAACGCATTGCTCAAACAAAATCTGACATGGTCTTGCCGTTTCACATGCTTGCATGATCTCTAACTTTTTGCGCTGTTTCGGGTTCAGCGGGCTACACAGCAGTGGGCGAAAACCAGCCTGATCAGTAGTGACTCGTGTCTACCGTGCTGCTGTTTTCTTGCTATAGCCTCCAGCTACCCAGGCTAACGCCATTTGCAGAATGTTGCAGTGAAGGCATCTCACGTTCCCGAAGGTAGGGATCATGATGTACATTGAATTACATTGGTGTACAAGAGCCATGGACTACGGAGCGCAGTAACCCACCTACATCGTATATTTGCAGGGTTACACAGTGAACATGGCACTGGCCTTGCTTTGCTCCATCTCCAGAAAGGAGAGGAGCCACACCTGGTGAAGAAAGCAAAAGAGAACACAGCAAAACAAAACAAAGCAACATGTTGTGTAAATATAAAGTTTTGAAGGTTGAAGACCTTGTTTATGTGACCAGCCTTTAAGAGTGGCGGGCTGACTGTAAAGAAGTGTGCTCTTGCATGCACGGGCAGAACTGTTAATTTAAAACCTTATAGTTAATCTCATTCATGAAGGGCAGCGCGTTCCCATTGCAACATGGGAAGGTCAGCGCAAAAATGCAACAGAGCCCAGGCAAGCAGGTGAAATCAAATGCCGCAGCACCTGCAGCTAGTCTGCCGTGTTGCAGCAGCTTGTTTGCAATGCGCCAGTGCTGAGCTTGTCCAAACCCCCGGACTGCACTACCTCGGCATATGCTGCTCCAATCTGTTCCATTACTCTCGCCCACAAAGCGATGAGTGGGTGGAAAAGCAGCAGCAAGGATACATCTCTCTCCTAAGTTCCCATGCCGTGCAGGCTGGTGCAACATGGCGTCCCCTGTCACTTCAGCTGAGTGCCAGGCCGCTTGTAACTTCATCAGCGACAAAGCCATGTGCAAAACCAATGGAGGACCACTGCGAAAGTGACCTCCATTGAGCAGCTTTGTCGCAAGCACTGAGCACTGCCTTGGTTGCGCTTGCCTAGGTTTCATTATCTTCGCTCTTAATGTTCCGAGTCCGGTTCCAACACGAAAATTGCTCAAGCAAAGCCGTGCTGTGTGGTAGCGCGACAGCGGTGGATGCGTGGCAACGTCATTCTTTAACACGGAGGAGCAGGCTTCAATATGTTTCTCAAATCTTAATTTCATTTCTTTTACTTATAAAGGCTGCGCAAGCCTGTCCAAATTGCATGGCCGCGTTGCTGGGCGCGGGCAAGCTATGGCAAGCCTTCGGGAAATCTTTTCTGTAGCAGGTAGAGCAAGTAAAGTAATTCTGCGCAGCTAGGAGTCAACCCTAGCCTAGCTACATGACATGTCATCATGCCAAGCCTATCCTATGTCTACGAAGTCAAGCCTGCGGGTCGAAGAAGCCATATAATATATGAACCCCAACAAAATCCGCCGGCCCCGCTTGCAGCAGGGGGAGCGCGTCAGAGGAGAAATTACCAGCAGCAAGGGGCAAGAAGTTATTACAAGCAGCACGGGGCAAGAAGCAAGAAGCAAGAAGCAAGAAGCAAGAAGCAATTGCAAGCAGCAAGGGGCAAGAAGCAAGCAGCAAGAAGTCAGGAAGCAAGAAGAAGAAGAAGAAGATTTGGAGCTAGTTTAGTTTATTACCAGCAGCAAGGGGCAAGAAGTTATTACAAGCAGCAAGGGGCAAGAAGCAAGAAGCAAGAAGTCAAGAAGCAATTACAAGCAGCAAGGGGCAAGAAGAACTAGACGACGGATGGCCCGAGAGCGTGCAAGAGCAGAGTCACGGGAAGAGTAGTATCAAGACAATTAGAGAAACACTATATTAGAAGACTATATATTAGAGATGTATAATAGGCAGACGGGAAGAGTAGTATCAAGACAATATAGCACAAACACAAGACAATAGTTTTCATCGTATCTTTCGTATAGTTTCTTTACACACAGAACTTTTCACAGACAGACGTTTTTGCACACAAAGAAGCTTGTACACACAGACGTTTTTACACACAGACGCCTTTACACACAGACGCCTTTACACACACACACATGCGTTTACACACAGACGCGTTTACACACAGCAGTTTTTACACCAAGAAGCTTGTACACACAGAAGCTTTTACACACAGACGTTTTTACACATAGGCCCTTTTAAACAAAGAAGCTTTTACACACAGAGAGAAGCATAGAGAAGCTTTTACACGCAGACTTTTTTACACATAGAGACTTTTACAGTTTTACACACACACAGATGCTTTCACACACACACACACTTTCACACACAAAGGCTTTCACGCAGCGGCTTTTGCATACAGACATTTTTACACACAGACGCTTTGACACACAGACGCTTTGACACACAGACACTTTTACACACGGACACTTTAACACACAGAGACTTTTACACACAGAAGCTTTTACACACAGACGTTTTTACACACAGGCACACAAAGAGGAAGACACATACACGTACACACACACACACAGGCACAGACACACACGCACACAAAGAGACAGACACTTACACACAGACACACAGACACACACACACACAGCGAAGTCATCGTTGTCGTGGCCACCTCAGCAATCATTGTATGGGTTGACTTGTGTTCATTCATTGTATCAACAGCGCCGAAGCCAGCGAGACACAACTGAGATGGACAGCTGTCACGTCCAACAATGTGGGCGCCGCCGCCGAGTCGAGCTGCCTCAAGAGTGGTTTAACCAACAGAAGAATGTCTGAGAAGTGAGCTCCGATAAAGCAACAAACACAAGAATTAATGTGAGAGATGCTTCTATATGTGCTGCTACCCACTAATGCATCTAGGATGAAAAATGAAATCAATTCATGACTACAGGCGCAAAAGCAATCAGCAGCCTTATTCACTGGCGGCGAATTCAAGAAGGTTGAGTGTAGATGGCAAAGTCTCAGACAGTTCTGCTTGACTTATGCTGATGCACTATGGTGAGACAGGAATATTACGCGCATCAAGAAGTCTCAGACAGTTCTGTTTGACTTATGCCGACGCACTTCATTTTGATATTGAAAAACGCGGTACCAGGGCTCCCAGCGCACAAGCAAGTGAGAGCTAGGCTGCGCCACGTTGGAAATCCCGGTGCCACTCAGAGCGCTGTTGTTCCACCATCCACAACACATCTAAAACATAGTCTCGATGGCGCCGCGGGCAAAGAGACGGTCTCTTTGTAAGCAGCAGCTTGATCGCATCTTCCGCGCTGTCGTCATAGGCCACAATGAGCCAAGCACACAAAACCGCAGCGCTGCGATTGATCCCACCAAAGCAATGAAACAAAATGTGCATGGGCTTGTCTTCGTTAACGGCAATGATTGACTGTTGCCACAGTTGGAAGCATATATAAGCATATGCTTTTCCAGTTGGAGAGGCATTTCTTTTGCAATGCTTCGTGCCGTTCGAAGTCGCGGCCCGGCTGCTTCACTGTGATGTCATCCAGCTGACAATGAATATGAACTACAGCGTGCTCACAGAAATAATCCTTCCAATTCGATGGAGCTCCATGTGCATTCATTTCAGTCTCACACATGGAAACAACCACTGTCACAGACACGCCGAGATCTTCTTTGATGACATCCAAGTTGCAAGCGGCCTGCAAGCTGCCAAGCGGCATAGTTGCCCTTTCTGTAGGCTTGCAAACAAGGCAACCATCCACAGGCCACGCAGCTATGGATGAGAAGCTGTAATTCTGTTGTTGGATGATTTCATCCAAGGCCGTCCATGAAGCAGTGTCATTGTACGCATCCTGGATGTCTTTTTGCCTGGCTTGCGACCGCTCCAGCATCTCACATCGCGCCATGGATGAGCCTACCTGAGAACACTGGTGTTTTTTACCTGAGAAAAAAGCTGCCAAACCGTGAAGTGAACATGTATTGGAGTCGTTGGCGCACGCACATGCGCACGCATTCAAGCTGTGGAGTGAAGCACATGGAAGCGACAAGACAAAGCTGTTGAATCAGGCAGTGCAAATTCATTGACGTGCTGGCCACCAATACAAAAATTAATGAATATATATCCAAACATGGCAACACCTACACTGCAAATGACCTTTTGGGCAACTCAGGTACGGAACGCAGATTTGCTGCCATGCATGGAAACTCAGGCAATTCTGGTTGCTTTACACGCCAAACTTGAAAAACCAAATAATTCGGCGGAAACCTCAAACAGTTCTGGTGTGCTCGCTTGTGAAACTCAGACAGATCTGGTTGCTTTACATGCGGTGCTTTAAAAACCAGTGAGTTCAACAGCCGTAGTCTTGCAATCAAGCTGTCAGGCATCGCTCCACTTGCCCGCTTTCACTTTGGCAGGTGTTTCTACAATGAGATCAGAAGCAGGTCATTTTTTGGTGGTGCTCATTTGCAATCCACAGATGCCACGTCGCACTGCTTCCACTGCATCCATCTGCTGATAGATCTTCTCAGCGACCACAGTCATGTTGGCACCTTGATCGTCTGCGGAAACCTTTCCCACCAACAGATGCACTTTGTGATCTGCCATGTTGAAATTTTGCGTCTGTTCCAGTTGGCAGAAAGCTTCAACAGAAAACAGTTTGGGATTTTTTGCTGCCACAGCGATGACCTTGGTGTGCTGCATCATGAACACTTCATCATCTCCAGTGCCCGACTTCTTGATGGTTGGCTCCTCATCCTCAGCGCGAACGAACACACTGATGTACCCAGGGAAAATGGGTGCATCTTGCAATTTCACACCAAAGCCTGAAAAGAGCAAATCTTCGTATGGACAAGCAATGGGGTACACCATCCCAACAGCTCTCTGGTTCTCCAAGCGCAAGATCTTGCGCACCATCGGCCGGTTCTGGTCATTGTATTCTTTGTACAACGCAGGCTGTGCAGCCACGACTTGAAACTGACATTCTGGCAATTGCAAAGTTGCTGTTGCGTCTGCAACACACCGGAAGCGGCAGCAGGCACGTTGGATCGTGAAGTGCCGGCTTTGCGGTTGTTTGTCGCTAGCCTCACGTCCACTGGATGCTTGAAGCAAATTCCTGCTGGACCACGTTTCTGCAGGGCAGGAGTGTGAGAAGTTGCTCCTTGGAAGCTACTGCGGCCAGAGCTTGAAGATTTTGTTCGTCGACCAGAATTCTTTCAATCTCTCCAGTGTGATCTGCCAGATTCACTGTGGCCAAAATAGCGATTGCATCATCACGCTCTGTCTGACAACTGTGTGTGTCGTGCCGCTTGCAGTGTCCAGTGTCCGGGTCGATCTTCGTGCGGCAGTTTTTGCAGGCCACCCCACAAAGACGCTTTTACACGCAGACGCTTGTACACACAGACGCTTTTACACACAGACACTTTTACACAAACACATTCACACGCAGAGACTGCTACACACAGAAGCTTTTACACACAGACGCTTTTACACACAGAAGCTTTTACACAGAGAAACTTTTACACACAGACGCTTTTACACACAAACGCTTTCACACACAGATGCTTTTACACACAAACACTTTTACGCACAGAGACCGGGCCCGTGAAATCGCAATTTTACTTCAGTTTTGTGCGATCGAACCTCATTTCGTGCGAAAGCGTTCCGATTGGACAAGAGAAATCGCAATCTTACCCCAGTTTTTGGCGATCGAACCTTATTTCGTGCGAAAAGGTTGCGGCGGATACCTCAAAATCGCAATTTTACATCCGTTTTTGACGTCCAATGTCCATTTCGTGCGAATGGGTTGAGGCGGACACCCCAAAATCGCACTTTTACTTCAGTTTTTGACGTCCAACGTCCATTTCGTGCGAAAGTGTTGCGGCGGACTAACTATAGAATCGCAAGTTTACTTCAGTTTTTGGCGATCGAACCTCATTTCGTGCGAAAGGGTTGCGCGGGAACCCGGGAAATCGCAATTTTATCCCAGTTTTTGGCGATCAAACCTCATTTCGTGCGAAAAGGTTGCGGTTGGACGCCAGAAATCGCAATTTTATTTCAGTTTTTGGCGATCGAACCTCATTTCGTGCGACAAGGTTGCGCCGGACGCCTGGAAATCGCAATTTTACCTCAGTTTTTGGCGATTGAACCTCACTTCGTGCGAAAGGGTTGCGTTTCGTGCCGTGTCTTTGGCACTGCCCCGCGCCTTCAAGAGAGAAATAGAAAAGAAGGAGATGGCAAGAGGGCAAGAGAGAATGTGAAGATGTGAAGATGCGAAGATGTGAGGATGTGAAGATGAGAAGATGTGAAGATGTGAGGATGTGAAGATGTGAGGATGTGAGGATGAGAAGATATGAAGATGACAAGATGTGAAGATGACAAGATGTGAGGATGAGAAGATGTGAAGATGAGAAGATGTGAAGATGAGCAGGTGTGAAGATGAGAAGATGTGAAGATGTGAGGATGTGAAGATGTGAGGATGTGAGGATGAGAAGATATGAAGATGAGAAGATGTGAAGATGAGAAGATGTGAGGATGAGAAGATGTGAAGATGAGAAGATGTGAAGATGAGCAGGTGTGAAGATGAGAAGATGTGAAGATGTGCGGATGTGAAGATGTGAAGATGTGAGGATGTGAAGATGTGAGGATGTGAGGATGAGAGGATGTGAAGAAGAGAAGACGTGAAGATGAGACGATGTGAAGATGAGAAGATGTGAAGATGAGCAGGTGTGAAGATGCTTGACAGACCCCCACTATTGGAAGAACCCTGCGCTCAGACGCTCTCGGGAAAAAGAAGAAGAAGAAGCTTGAAGGCTGCAATTTGGATTTGGCGCTAGTTTTATAAGATTCTTACTGCTACAGTCTGAGACCATCAAAAATTATTATTTTTTCATTTTTTTCATTTTCATTTTCATTTCCATTATCGTTTTTTTTTCATTTTATCTTCATTTTTTTTCATTTTTGTTCATCACCTTTTGACATCAAACTTCATTTTTTTTCATTTGCAACTTCATTTTTTTCATTTGCAACTTCTTTTTTTTCATTTGCAACTTCATTTTTTTTTCATTTCCTCTCTTTTTGATGGTTTTTCATTGTTTTTCATGGCTTTCCTGGATTTCAGGTGCCACGGGAAAGGAAAATGAAAAAATGAAAAAAATGAAAATTTCCTCGAGTTTTTGAAGATTTCCTGGTTCGGAGTGAGAATCTGCAACTTTGAGTCCAAATTTTCATTTTTTTTTCATTTGCAACTTCATTTGTTTTTCATTTTCCTTTGTTTTTGATGGTTTTCCATTGTTTTTCATTGTTTTTCATGGTTTTCCTGGATTTCAGGTGCCACGGGAAAGGAAAATGAAAAAAAAATGAAGTTTAAAATGAAAAAAAATGAAGTTTGAAATGAAAAAAAAATGATGTTTGAAATGAAAAAAAATGAAATTTGGAGAAACAAAAAACGAAAAAAAAATGAAAAATAAATGAAAAATAAATGAAAACAGAAAAATGATTGAAAAACAAAATGAAAAAAAAATGAAGTTACAAATGAAAACCCAAATGAAAAATAAATGAAAAAAAAAATAAACATTTCCAATCTGTGGCTCGATGCGAATCATATAACGCTAGTTTCTTACCAGCAGCAAGGGGCAAGATGGCGTGCAATTTGGAGCTAGTTTCTTGTAGGTTCAGAAAGCGATGTTACGCAGTGCCAGCTCGGTCGGGCTGGGCCGCGTCGTCCTTCAGGATCATGGGGGTTTGGCGTTTTGAGTCTCTAGGGGCAAGAGGGCGTGCAATTTGGAGCTTGTTTCTTGTAAAGAAAGCGACGTTGGGCATTGGCAGCTCGGTTGGGCTGGGCCGCGTCGTCTGCAGGAGCATGGGGGTTTGGCATTTCGAAGCTTGCTTTCTTCGTCATGTACCAGAAAACAACGTTGGGCAGGGGCAGCCCCCCTTTCTTAGGCGTGGGAAATGCTTTTTGGAGCTAGTTGCTTTTTGGAGCTAGTTTCTTGTCGGCTCAGAAAGCGGCGTTAGGCAGAGGCAGCCGCAGGCCGAAGGCCTGGTCCGTCTCTCCGTTCAGATGAGAGATGAAAATTTGCACGGCGTTGTGGCGCGAAGCACATGTCCAAGTCAAAATGTACAAGGCACCTCAGTGTCGGACTACTTTTGGAAGTTGACATGTCGAAAAAGTGCACGCCGTTGTGGCGCGAAGCACATTACGAAGTCAAACGTGTAAAAAACTGACGGGTTCGGAGCACTTTTGGAAGTTGAGATGTCGAAAAAGTGCACGTGCGAAGCACATTTCGAAGTCAAAAGTGTAAAAACAATGACAGGTTCGGAACACTTTTGGAAGTTGAGATGTCGAAAAAGTGCACGCGCGAAGCATATTTCGAAGTCAAAAGTGTAAAAAACTGTCGGGTTCGGAGCACTTTTGGATCACTATGGCACAACCCGTGTGTCTAGAAACACCTTTGCACCCAGAAAAGCCCGACCTCTGCAAGAAGCTAGTGTCAAGTCAAGGCCAGATCCCAAGAACCGAGCTAAATCATCTCTACAAAAAGGTTGCACAACTCACATGGCTAACATAAAAAAAAACCGGCAAACATCCAGCTGTTTTTTTTGCTCTCAGGAGGTTGGGTCCCTTCGAACCCTGACCATCTTGTAGAGGATGGGCAGCATGGGCCCGCCATTCAAAGGAGATACTTGTCTTTTCCAATTGGCAACATGTCGGGGTTGGGTTGTTTTTCCATTTTCGGGTTGCTATTTTCTTGTCCGTTGTTTCTTTGAACTTGTTCCAATCTTGGGCTGCGAAGTCTGCTAATGCCAAGGCTTTCAAAAAAAACAAACTACAAAATGGAGGGGCCATGAGGGGCCAAGCGGGAACACTTTGATGCAAAATCTGGACCCAAAATGTTTCGAGGTGAAACCACCAATGCAATGCAAGTAGCCTGGAGACGCCTGCAAAATGACATGCCCAACTTCAAGGCTTACAGAATGTTGCAATTCCACAATGGGATGAAGATCATCATTTTGGGAACTATCTCATGTTCAGTCCCTGGGTAAAGCTTTACAGAAAGTATTGTGTTTCGAAGGCAGGTAATGTAAAATGGTTCGTTTATGATTTTCTAATTTTATCAGAGTTGCTCCCTCCTTCTCCTTCTCCTCCTTCCTCTCCCCCGGCAGCCTCGGATCCCAAGTGCGAATTCCGCATCTCAGTGGGCACTGCCGGGCCTCAACTGCGAGCTCCGGATCTCAGTGGGCACTGCCGGGCCTCAACTGCGAGCTCCGGATCTCAGTGGGCACTGCCGGACCTCAACCGCGAGGCCCAAAAAACACCTAGACCCTTGCTACCATGTCCCAGTCCACAACGGTCAGTCCGAAGCACAAGAATAGTCTGCTGGCCTGAGCCACTTACTGATCCACTTATTCGCATGTCTGCCATGTTTTTGCAAGGTGCGTTGAAGGAGATGATGCTGCTCTGAATAAACCATAGATTCATACACCGCACCAGCGCAAGAGCAGGCTGCCACAATGATGTTCTCTCGCATGAGCTTATGCTGGCATTGAAGGAGATGACATCGCAAAGGATCGCTGCTGCCCTACTTTGCCTTGGTCCAAGCTCAGATTCTTCAGCGACTTTATCCAGGTCTCCTCCCCTCATTGTTTGCACAGCTTTGCGTTTTGGATTTGTGGGAGGCCTGTTTTCGTTTGGGTCCGTTCATGTCTCGTTTCTGATGCATGCTTTCAGAAAATTTGAGCACTGCAGGGACAATCTATGCAAGCCTGTAAAGTATTTCTATGACGGTAGGATTTGATTTAAGCAACCCAAATAAACTAGACCTAAACTGGTTACAGGTCCAGGCGTGGAACCACGCTAAGGTGAGGAACTTGGAGGGACAATGCTGGTTAAGAAAAATGGCATGACGGAAAAAAAACGAACCTTTGAAGCTGTTGGCCACTGAACCCTGCCTGAGCACAAAACAAGTTTGCACCTGTCGAATGCACGCACGTACATTTTTCCTATAGTTTTGGTCGTGTTGTCTGCTTTGCGTTCTGACGTGCTCTTGTCCGAATCGATTTTCAACAAACCAGCCGCCTAATCCCCCCACGCACTTACTGTGTGATTTTCGCCCTCTATTTCTACTCTCTCATGTATGAATTTGCACAACCTTCCCTAGACACACGCGCACAAACATGCACGCACCAATGGGGTGATATCAAAACGCGCCTAGAAGACCACGGAATCCACAACGCTGCCCAGATGGGGATTAAAGCCTTTGCATTTTTGCGCAAAAATGCTCGAAATATCAACCGCCATTCTGTGGTAAACCTTGCGGCAAACCTTGTGGTAAACCTTGTCCAAAAAATGCGCATTTTTCCGCCCCAAGAGCGGGGCAAAAGTTGCGGCAAACGTTGTGGCAATTTTTTCCGTGGTAAACCTGTGGTAAACGTGCTGCAATGTTTCGTGGTAAAACTTTTGTGTGGCAAAAGTGTGGTAATCCTTTTCCTGGAAATATGCAGTAGAAGTTACAAACTAGACGACGGTTGGCCCGAGAGCGAAAAAGATGTGTTTCAAGCAGCTCTGAGTATGGTAGTCGTAAAAGATAGTCGGTGAATAGTTGGTGAATTTTATTGGTGAATTTTATATGAGCTATGGAAAGACATGATGTAAAAAAGTAAGATTGATCAAGAAGAGAATATTTGGTAAAGGGCATCAGATGACATGTGTCTTGCAACCACAGAGAGAAAGAGGGGGAAGAGATAAAGAGAGAGAGAGAGAGGTCAGACGCATTTCCACACAAAGACCTTTGAGATACAAAAGAAGCTCGGCACCATGATGCCGTGGATGACCTTAGTTGCAAACAAAGGTGGGCAAACATAGTCGCAATGAAAATGCTACAAAATGCAAAAGTACACAAACAAAGGCTCCGTAAGAAACTAGAACTCCGTGCAAGAATGCTGTGAATGATAGCAAGTTCGATATCATGATGGCAAGGATAACACCTGTTTCACTGCATTTCTCCGATGTCCCTACAGGATGGAAAAAAAAACTTTACAGACAAACAACAGTTGGCTACTGGTTTTGCATGTTCGTCACGAACAGTCTCTCCAGACGAACATACTGGTTTTGCATGTTCGTCACGAACAGTCTCTCCAGACGAACAGTGCTACAGATTAATTTGCGCCAGTTGCACTCAGTGCCACTCGGTACGCAAGCCTTCCAGCTCCCACAAGCTGCGTCCAAGCAAAGGTCGGTACCATGATGCTGCAGATGTAGCATCTGGTCCATGCGTTTACATCTGAGGCAAAAAATGTATAACACACAATCCAATGCGAAGCATCTGCTCTTTCAATTCGAAACTGAAAACACGACTCCGGAGTTTGACATAGCAAATAAGCCCGGTACCATGATGCCGTGTATGACCTCACTTCCAAACAAAGGTGCGCAAACACAGCTTTGGATTGGAAATGTTTAAAAATTGGTATCCAAAAAACAACAAGTGAACGCATATCAATGAAATAATAACACATAGATCCACTACATCACAAACGAACATGGGCATGATCACTATGCAATTCTCAAGATCTCACGGACAGCCCCTACAGAGACCTAAAGAGATGCAACAAATGTTGAAGATATTTGTTTGTCGATCCCTGGTATTGCACAAACATGATGCCATGTCTCACAAACATGCGAATTCGGTCACAAAAACAACTCATGTCACAACACATTTTTTGGTTGAACCCAACCTCCGTGGAGGGTTCCAAGACTTTCATCAACGAGTTGCGCAGCTCTGCTACAGGCAGCCAATTCCGGTTGGAATGTGTCTGCACACCACCCGCAGTAGCCAGGACTCGAATCTCCTCTTTTCGCATTTCGTACAAGGCACGACTGAGCCACTCCTTGCCCTGTGAAACAGCCCCAAGGCGAAGTTCTTCCAATTTGGCAGCCGATGCCTCTTCCACCTGCGGCATCCGACACACTGCCACCACAAAACCACCATCATCCTACAACATCGCACCATGTGACAAACATTCAAATTCGGTCACAAAAACAACTCATGTCACAACACATTTTTTGGTTGAACCCAACCTCCGTGGAGGGTTCCAAGACTTTCATCAACGAGTTGCGCAGTTCTGCTACAGGCAGCCACGCCTTGCCGGATCGTGTCTCCACACCACCCGCAGCAGCCAGAACTCGAAGCGGACGAGCTGACATTTCCGACAAAGAACGCCTCAGCCACTCCTTGCCCTGTGAAACAGCTCCAAGGCGAAGTTCTTCCAATTTGGCAGCCGATGCCTCTTCCACCTACGGCATCCGACACACTGGCGAAGTTCTTCCAATTTGGCAGCCGATGCCTCTTCCACCTGCGGCATCCGACACACTGCCACCACAAAACCACCATCATCCTACAACATCGCACCATGTGACAAAGATTCAAATTCGGTCACAAAAACAACTCATGTCACAACACATGTTTTGGTTGAACCCAACCTCCGTGGAGGGTTCCAAGACTTTCATCAACGAGTTGCGCAGCTCTGCTACAGGCAGCCAAGCGTTGCCCGGTCGTGTCTCCACACCAGCCGCAGTAGCCAGGACTCGAAGCTCCTCTTTTCGCATTTCGTCCAAAGAACGACTGAGCCACTCCCTGCCCTGTGCAACAGCCCCAAGGCGAAGTTCTTCCAATTTGGCAGCCGATGCCTCTTCCACCTGCGGCATCCGACACACTGCCACCACAAAACCACCATCATCCTACAATTTTTCCCGCTGCTCATGCATATCAATGAAATAATACCACATAGATCCACTACATCACAAACGAACGTTGGCATGTGCAATTCTCAAGATCTCACGAACAGCCCCTACAGAGACCTCAAGAGATGCAACAAATGTTGACGATATTTGTTTGTCGATCCTTGGCATGTCACAAACATGATGCCATGTCTGACACACATGCAAATTCGGTCCAACATTGCACCATGTGACAAACACGCAACTTTCGTCACAATCCTATTCTGCCCCACCGGACCTGCATGCGTGGTGCCAAGACATCCAGCAATCGAGCGCGCAGCTCTCCAACCGCAAGCCACTTGTTGTCCGGTCCACGGCCAACATTCCGAGCATGTGCCATTTTGCGAAGCTCCATGACAGAAATGTTGGCCAGGGCATCCTGGAGCCATTCACGACCCCTGGTCACAGCACTGCTACGCAGCTCCTGCAACCGAACTTCCACGCCATCGGACGACGAGGATGACGCGGTCGCATGCTCCATTCGCACAGACATTCCCTTCAGCAAATGAAACAGCGACCACAAAATTGTACGGTACAATGATTCCCGTAGTATTTTTTGTCCACTGCTCATGCATTTCAATGAAAACATTACATATATTTTTTTCGTGCTATACTTACATAGATCCACTGCATCGTAAACAAACACTGACATTGTCACAATGCAATTCTCGAGATCTCACGGACAGCCCCCACAGAAACCTCGAGAAGTCCAAGAAATGTTCAAGATACCTGTTTGCCAATCGTCACTTGTTTCACGAACATTCAGCGTACATATAAGAATATGGATGTTCACTCTGTACACAATGCATCTTGTCTCTACGTTCACATCTGAGCCAAGGAAAGAGGTAAAGAGGTAAACTATGCTTGTCGGTGCAGAGTTGCACAATCCACTGCAAAGGATTTGTTCGCTGCGTTCCAAACTGAGAATGCCACTCATGAGTTTGACATGGCAAAGAACCACTGTCGCAGAGTCCTGCAAACTGAAGGCTGAACGTGTCAACAGTGAAGCTTACAATGAACACATCAAATCATCAAACCACATGTTATTCATTTGCATATAAGGTCCCGACTTAAAAATGGCGGCATGTCAGGATCGGCCCGAATAGTATTTTTTGTCCACTGCTCATGCATTTCCATGAAAACATTACATATATTTTTTCGTGCTGTACTTACATAGATCCACTGCATCGTAAACAAACACTGACATTGTCACAATGCAATTCTCGAGATCTCAGGGACAGCCCCCACAGAAACCTCGAGAAGTCCAAGAAATGTTCAAGATACCTGTTTGCCAATCGTCACTTGTTTCACGAACATTCAGCGTACATATAAGAATATGGATGTTCACTCTGTACACAATGCATCTTGTCTCTACGTTCACATCTGAGCCAAGGAAAGAGGTAAAGAGGTAAACTATGCTTGTCGGTGCAGAGTTGCACAATCCACTGCAAAGGATTTGTTCGCTGCGTTCCAAACTGAGAATGCCACTCATGAGTTTGACATGGCAAAGAACCACTGTCGCAGAGTCCTGCAAACTGAAGGCTGAACGTGTCAACAGTGAAGCTTACAATGAACACATCAAATCATCAAACCACATGTTATTCATTTGCATATAAGGTCCCGACTTAAAAATGGCGGCATGTCAGGATCGGCCCGAATAGTATTTTTTGTCCACTGCTCATGCATTTCAATGAAAACATTACATATATTTTTTTCGTGCT